ATCCAGGAACAACCTGACACAGGACCTGAGAGATGACAAGCCCTTCAGTTTATCCAGGTACTGTTCACTGAAGCCTCAGGAAGACATTCTTAAGGAGAGGAAACACCTTAAGAAAGGTGTCTAGAGTGTCTAGAGCCATTGCCACTGATAGGCAACAGCTTAATGCATGACAGTCATAAGCATGACAATGATACCAAACACACTGTCATGCAGTAAAATCATACCTGGATAGAACAAACACAAACTCAAACACTATCAGGATGGATCGGCCTCCAAAAGCATGACTGACATTTCTGTTCTCTGGCTGCTTTTTGCCCATGTGTGGTTAGAGGAAGTGGGGCGAGGAAACACAGAAGCTTCTAAGTGGCTCTATTTTTGCCTCACTGTTTGTTGTTTTTGTCAATTTGAGAAGTTTCTGAGAAATACGTCCACACCTATGCTGTAATCGCTCTTCATCTCCAATGCAGCACCATCAACATCTCAACATTCCCATACCTGCTGCACATGGCCATTTGATGCTGATCTCTTGTTTGTTTTTTCCTTTTGCCCTCTGAACCACAGAGGACCTGAAGCTCAAGTCTTTATTTAGCCGATAGCTTGTTTTTTTTCACTTTGCTCATTAAAGGTAGACTAAAGTTGGGTGTCAAATGGGGACAGTATCCGGCTTATTGTTCTGCATTTAGGTGAGAGGCGTGGACAGGCCTCGCCACCTTTCACCTTCTCGAGCAGGGGTCTGGGAATGGCATTCGTGTGGGAAGGGGTTTAACCTGCTGATTGGTCAGCTGCCTGTAATCGTGTATGATAGGATTTGAAGCTGTATCACAGATGTTTTTGGCAAAGTTTCAGAGGCTCCCTGGGCTCATTAATGGCCGTTTTTCAATGATTAATGGAAAGTTTTTGCTGCTATGTTTGCTTTGGGAGGCTGTTGGGAATGGTCAAGGAAGGGGCATGGATAGTATGAATGCAGTTGTTAAATGAAGGAAACGTAAACAGTCCACACTGTACAGTAATGAAAATGAATAATCTATATAGTTATAGAAGGTTTCTAAGACTTCACTGAGAAACCTGGTGCAGGAAATCCCTCTGATGCCCTTTTTAATCTATTAACTTTTAATTTCTCCTCATCTGACAGGCAGATTTCAAAACCATAAACTTCAACTCAAAATATTCCAATCAAACAAGGACTTCACTCGGTTCTTAATGAGTTTAGTTAGAGCCAAAACACTTTGCATTACTTTTTATAGTCCATCTGATTTATGCTCTAACATGTTCTGTCTTTATGGGTTTTTGAGGAAAAACATCTCACTCGAATTTTTTTCTGCTTCAGTGCAACATTTGTCAGCCCCCTTTGGTTCATCATTTATTCATTCCTAAATGCAAGGGTGTGACTTGTTGTCTTGCAGGGTGGTAATATGCACAAAGGGTTAGACCGGGTTTGTTTTGAACACCAAATGTGCAGAAATATGACGAATCGTTGCAGGTGTTGTGGTATCCACTGCTAGGAAACGTAAGCATTTTAAGTGATCCTTGTTTTTTAAACTAAATGAGTCGGTTGTTTAACAGCCTCTCTGTGGAGCTCTACTTCCAGCACAGTGGCTTCTAAGGAAAAGTGTCTCATCCTTGTCCCTGTATGGAAAAACACTGTGTGAATTTGCAGATACAAATGACATGACAGCGAAGAATACCCTCCCCTTCAACATCCTTCCCTTGTTTGTTTGTATGGAAATAGTCCACATCGGAGGTTGTTGATATGTTTGGGTGTGACGTTGGGTACTCACTCACCTTATGGTAAACAGCAAATCCTACGAGGAGACAGTGAAGGGCCTGTGGCATGTGGTCAGACACGCCCAGTTACCGGTAACCAGAGGGTCCCATAGGAAGGC